ATTCAAAAGAACAAGGATAAACGTTATGGAGTTGTGGGTAGCAATATCAAGTGTTGATTTCAATTACAATAACAATTCCTGCTTCAAGAAGTATCATATAGAACGGACGACTGCATAGCATTGCAAAGAGTCAATGAACCAAAATTTTTAAAATGTTAGATGGTTACAGCCAATATCGTCAAAAAATGTCCTAAAGGTACGGATATATAGATATTTCAGCAATTGACTATATTTCTGGGTTAGAAAAATGAGATTTTGACAGATACCACAGCTATAAAAGATTTAAACAAATCGCTGTCGATCAATCGATCGATCGAGAGAGATTTTTTTTTTATATATAAATGTTTATTAATCCTTTTAATCGGACCATTTCCCCCCTCTTCATTGTGCAACTTGTATACTAAAAAAGAGCATTTTATTGTAGGTGCTTCTTTGGAGTTAAAATAAAAATGTTTTAAAAAAATTCATTTATTTTTCATTGAACGTAATCTCATGAAAACTGGACATACAATTTTCGATTATATTTCAGAAACCATCATAAGATATAAAATTGCAATTGCCTTCAAATTTAGTTTAAAATCAGCTGTTTAAAGACTCGTGCATGTACAGATGGATTAAGTGACCACTAAACAATGCTTTAGATTTTAGCTCTCTGAGTGAATGAACGTAAAATTTATCTTTCTATGTTTCACGTGATTTACTAGGCATTGCATATGTTTAGAATGGCACAAAGTCAGCTCCTCTCTAGAGCTGCTTTAGGGAGAACCCCGTCTTCTGACAGACTACAGGTTCATGTCTCGCCAAACGAAATTTCCGACGATGCAAAAAGTGAAAATGAGCATGTACATACGCCAATATATAGGGCACTAAAGATAAAACACGCCAATATGGGGCACGAGATACGCCAATACGAGGCACTGGTAATACTTGTACGCCAGTGCGGGGCACTAATGAAGAACCTCGCTCTGATGAGGGTTCGTGGAAAAGAGTGGAGAAACGAACGACCAAGTTCAGATAGCGATGACAGCAAGAGCTCACTTGGTTATGGTTACGAATTTATAGTCGAATTCACATTGGGCGGGTTCATAAGCCCCATATTGTCGAGAAAAAGAGAGGAGGCAGGGACCTGTAATAAACCTGAAAGAATTCAATTGTAACATTATATATATACATTTCAAAATCAATCTAGTTCGATATATGATTCAAAAAGAGGACTGATTAATAAAAGTTGACCTGAAAGATGCTTGTTTCACCATTCCCATTGTAAAAGATCAAAAATATCTCAGATTAATCTTGAAAGGGTAGGTTTATCAATTCCTTTGTCTTCTGTTTGGAATGATAGTAGTCCCTTGGGTCATCGCCAATTTAATGAAAATTTCTATGAGTTACCTTTGAAAGTTGGGGTGAGACTAGTGATATACATGGACAATGTTCTGATCATGAATAAGAGAAAGGAAGGGGCGTGATAGATGGCAAAAGAGCAGTCAATTTGCTAGAAAGTTTAGGGTTAATGATAAATTTCGAAATCAAACCTAGTCCCTTCCCATTTAAGTTCTAGAATAACTGAGATTTAAGATAGACTTCAATATAATGACACTATCCATTCAAAATAGACTCCAATATATAATGACACTATCCATTTAAAATAGACTCCAATATAATGGCACTATCCATTCAAATTAGACTAAAATAATATAATGACACTATCCATTCAAAATAGAATATAACGACACTATCCATTCAAAATAGACTCCAATATAATGACACTATCCATTCAAAATAGACTCCAATATACTAGTAACCAATTTAATGACACTATCAATTCAAAATAGACTCCAATATTACCAATATAATGGCACTATCCATTCAAAATAGACTAGACTCCAATATAACCAATATAATGACACTATCTATTCAAAATAGACTACAGTCTAACGACGCGATCCTTACATTCAAAGAAAACAAGACAATAAATCAATTAATCAAGAGGTTGTCAGTTCAAATCTTGTTTCAGTAAGGAAATTGTCAGAGGAAATCTCACAGCATGCACACAAGCAGTACACCCTGCCCCCTTACATTATCGTAATCTACAAAAGGCTGAGAACCAAATTCAAAGCCAAAAGATTACAATGCACAAGTTGTCTTAATTCTAGAAGCCTAGAGAGATCAACTTTGGTGGAGTCACAATTTTGAGACACAAATGGAAAGAGTATATACAACAACTTATACTATTCAAACAGATGCAAGCAATCTAGGTTGGGGGAGGGGGGGGGGCTATTTGCAAAAATGTCAGAATGGGGTGCTTGGTTACTTAGCGAGATTCACAATCACATAAATGTTCTAAGGCTTTTAGCAATAACACACGCCGTAAAAGCATTTCTGAAGCAGGAATCAACCATGGTCGTTCTCATTCAAACAACAAGACAGCTATGAATTACATACTAGTAAACAAAATGCATGGGGAACGGTATCCAAGATGTGCAATGAGTTAGCCTTGGACCTATGAGAATTGTGTCTGAAGAAGGGTAGTTGGGAATTATAACGGTATAAATAAAATTTCAGATTCTTATGAATAAAAACAATAGATTGCAAGGTAGATCTGTTTGCATTCAGAATCAAAGCCAGACTAAACCTATTTGTCAGTTGGATGCCAGATTCAGAAGCTGTGGCACACAAAACACTGTTGCAACTCTGGATGGGAATAAAGGGGTATTATACATTCTCACCCATTCTGTCTTATTTTTCAATGTCCAGAGCGAAAGAGCAACAATTCTGCTGGTAAGCCCAGCATGTCCAGTCCAACCGTGGTATACAGCAATTCTGAAGATGTGCATTCAGGATGCCATTCTCCTTCCAATAATTCCTTATCTCCTTATGTCAGACAAGGGAGAACCTCGCCCACTAATGAGGAACAACTCTCTTCAATTAGTCGGATAGAATGCCTCAGGAGGTGCATGAAAACAATGCAGTTATCACAAGAGACTGAAAACCTCAACTCATATGGAAAGGGCACAGCATCTTCTTACAATTCAGCCTGGAAAAAGTGGGTTTTTTGTGTGTCATAAGAGAGGCTGATCCATTTTCAGCCCCGATAGATTTAGTATTTCATTTTTAAAGCCATTTCTACTAAGGAGGGTTTCAATATAGAACGATCAATGTTCACAGATCTGCTTTTTCTTCTGTGCTTCCCCATGTCAATAATTTACCCATTGGTCAGCATACCATGGTAAAACTTTTAGTGAGGAGAATTTTAAGACGAAATCCCCCATTACCAAAATACAAAAGAAACATGGAATGTTAATAAGTTTCTATTATATTTGATTATTTTTTCTCTCTCAGTTAATACAGAACTTTCTCTCAAACTCTTGTCAAAAAGTTGACTGTACTTTCAGTTGTTTCTGCCCTAAAGATAGTTTCAGAAATTGCAAGATTAGAGAAGGGTTTCATGCAACCGAAGTTGTACCATCAGGTGTACCACCAAGACGCTAAGAGATTGTCATTCAAAAGAAGTGTTTTATGCACGTTTTCCAGATAGCAAAGTATTGTTGAATGCTTTAGTAGAGTATTTACATGCAAAAAGACGTATAGGACTCTTGAACAATCAAGTGATCCTGTTCGGCCACATAAAGGTCGAACGGTATATCTGGTGAGGGTTCTGGGGTAGGTGCAATATTGTCGCTGACGACAATAACTATACAGGACAACATTGTGTAACGTCACAGTTGTCCTTATTCTATTTTCTTTAAGACATCATGTAGATGGATAAAACTAAAAATTGTTGATCAAATTTGAAATTGCTCTTTATATACCCTATGAGTGCAAATGATTACACGTGTATTTCCCGCTGTTAAATTTCTGTTTATTGATATTTGAATGCATTGCTATTAACTGCTTGAACAGACCGCTTCTTTTTCATGAAGTACAGAAATATCATGTTGGATATTTTTAATTTAACTTTACTTATATATCCCCCGTTTTCTTTTACTTAAAATATCGATCCACCTTTAGTCAAATGATGATATCTTTCATTAAAAGTATAATTTCTAATTCTTAATTTCCTGTTAGTCTATTGTGAAATTGATTTGGAAATAAAATAGTAATTATTATTGTGTTATTATATATTATATTATTTCCTTTCTACAAATCCTGCCAAGTGAAATTATTTTATTTAAAGGTCTATGTAGGTCTCATGCAGATACTTTTAGGTGAACGGAATTCCGCCCCCCCCCCCAACTCCCCGCATTACGTACCCCAAGGGTTATTCGGCTTTTTCATAAAATTTTCTGTCACACACTTCATAAAGTATTACCATCCAAATTAAAATCTAAAACTTTCCTTAAATAAAAATTCACACTCTCTAATGGTAAAAGAGAACACTTTTAGTATCAGAGGGTGTGGATTTTTTATTTTTAATTTTTTAATTTTTATCATTATTCAATTTTTTCAATTGTAATACTTTATAAATGTGCCATGGAAAAATATTTTTTTTAAAAAACGTCGAAGAACCCTTAACGCGGGGAAGGGGGGGGGGGGGGCTTCGCCAAGCACCTGTAGTGACTTTAAAGGTATTTACACTGTATTTTAAGCAAATAAATTTCACGTGTTATTAGCTTTGTATATTTAGTAAGGTTTCAGGAAAATATAATTTTATTTCCGGAAATAGCACAGATAAACCCACAGTAATCCTATTGTGCATGAGTTTTAAGGAAATTCATGTACTATCAGTTATACATACATGTTTATATTCCAAAAACCGACCTCGATTTAAATGTTCCTAATTGACTTGCGGATATTTATAGGTGAAAGATCATATGACTCTAAAATGTCTCGAGTGATACAAACACACTATCAGACTTGATAGATTATTTTAGAACTAATAAGTGTGATTAATCAGGGAAATAATGAACTCATGATGAAGACTAAATGAGAGGATGATTCCTATTCATCAGCTGCTAGGAGAGGAGGCGGATAATAAAACAATTATCTAGAACATCGTAGTCAATATTCTTTGGACATTACAGGTAATAAGGTAATATTTCAATTAGGTAGTATTTAGGGTCTATATTAAGTATATACAAGTGCATAACATTTTAATGTCATTGCATGTTACATAAGAGGTATAATTAATTAAATTTTATGTAACCCTTTGTATAGATATAAAAAATTACGAAACTGTTTAAATCTTATTCTACGGAAAGCAGGTCATGTTTTATTTCGATAATTTTCTAAGGTGGTCAAAGTGCAATATGTACTGGCTTGTGCCACTGATAATTGAACCCCTTATTTCAAAAGAATACAATTTTTATTTAAGTCCTTTGGCGCTTGGTACATGCATTCCGATCTGCAAAATAAAAAATTTCAAGTAATGTATATATTTTTATAATATGTAATAATATTTCAGGTGATTATGCAATATTATTCCGCGATCTTTTATAGTTATGGAAATATATAAATCTCGCCATGATGACGATTTCCTGCCTAATATATAGAGGTAGAAACGTCAAAATACAATATTCTTACCTGATGAGAGGTAATTCTGCAGAGACTTATAGGAATTTGAATTCTAACATTTTTAGGAACATAATATTTAAAAAGGTAGTTTAAAAAGGAAAAATTAGGATGTTATCAAAGGGGTCTGTAGCAAACTTTTCTTAAATTTTTCGTGATTCGTATATATATACGAAAGGAATTTCGTTAATGAAAAAACAAGCAAGCGCAGAAATGGTCAGAGTCCTTTTTATTTTCAATTTTTTACAGGTATTCTTATGCTAATTCCATAAGTACTATATTGTCTGGTAGTCCTTGGTATACCTCTTAAATCTGTTGGTCCCTATCAACAAAAGTTAATATCCTAGATTTCTAGCATTCTAATTACTTACATGTAAAACAATTAATCAATTAACAATTAATCAAAGCATCATGCGAAATCTTATGTTAATTATATGTATGATTCATATATAATCATATTTAATGAGGAAATATTTTTTTTTATATTGCTCAGCTGTAATGAGACATTGTGTTCATTTAAGTGTTTGATGAATCCATTAACGTATTATACAAAATATTACAAAAGATGAGATGAAATAAGAAAATCATCAAGTGTAAAAAGGAAACAACTTTAAAAAAAAAATGAATTTATTGCACTCAGAATATTTACTTGTGCTGAATTTCACAATTGTAACTTCTATTATCATGGCCGTAGGAACCGGGGGGGGGGGGGGGGGGGGCAGGGGGGCGTGCCCCCCATTAATTTTGCCGATATATATATTACTATAGTAAACATAGATAATATATGCTTGTGCCCCCTCAATAAAAACGTTTTGCTTGTCAGGAAATTTTTGGTAGTGCCCCCTCAACTGTCAACTGAAAATTGTATGGCTGTGCCCCCCACCTGAAATTGCTTCCTATGGGCCTGATTATTGGTCAAAAATAAACATGTGGCGTTTTGCTCTGCTGTGGAATCCTTATAGTTGCGGTTTGAGGATACAAAAAAATTGTTAAATTGATGACTGAAAAATTTTTTTTAAACAGGGACTTCATTTTGTGTGCACAAACCTTGAATTACAATTTCCACAACTGAATTTTTTTCTAAAACTAGAGGCCGATGGGCCTTGATGGTCACCTGATTAACGTGAATTTCTCTAGATGATTATGACCAACTTCGAATCCGCCCCACCTAGAATTGGAAATTTGAAGTCATGTGACATGAATTTTACAAAATGGTGAGGACTATGTTAACTATCATATTTTTGAAGCTTGCTCCTATAGATGATTAAAGGATAAAAAGATTTTTAAAGAAAAGCATATCAAATATACATGTATGATCAACTTAGCCCCACCTTGTGCCTAAGCTGTTGGGACGCACATTATGTTTTGTAAATGCTAAAATAGCTTACTGCCAAAATGCATACAATCTTGTTCAATGTCAGGAATCAATAAATTTTACAAAATAAACTCCATAATGATTTACCAATAAACCCTAATGCTGAGTCCTGGACCCAGAGAACACGAATTCAGACTTGGTGGAAGGCTGGTTGCCAGCTAGACTAGATTTCCAGAAGTGAAGAAAATGAATTCATACATTAAATATAGTACAATATATGACCGATTTATCCTCATCATGTAGGCTTTTGGTTAACTGAACATATTATATTTTTCAAATGTATTGCAAGGTTCCCTTCCAAGGGAATATACCATATAAATGGCAAAAATAGCATATGGACATTTATAAATCATTTTTTCAAAAACCTCAGATTATATGAAAGTTTTCTTGTATTTGTATAAAGTTTGTATTTTTTCATTTGTATATTTGTATAAAATTTCAAAAATTAAACAAATAACGAAGCAAGCGCCAGTGTGGGGTCACAATAGAAATTTTATTTTTAATAGACTGTAGAGGGGGAAAAGCTCAAAATCTTTTTATCAAGATTAGAAGGGCCACATTTCAAATAAATTTGCAACACTCTGTAAGAGGAGGCCAACCCTCAAAGTTGATAAAACTTTACCAACTTTAAAAATTCGGACCTTAATATCCAGAAAACACATTATTTTTGCACAACTTTCGATAGAAGAGTCACGAATTTTATTCATAATTTTATGGGAAAGATATCCTTGACATGTTAATTTTTCTCTTTAAAAATTAGAACTAGCTCTATTTGCTCATGATAGTGTATAATTGTATTTCATATGGAAGGGGAGCTTAAATTTTTACGCAAAACAAACACTAAAATCATTTTCTATCACCACTTGCTATTGACAATGAATAGAGTTTCGTTCACATTCACTAGAATAAACTTGGCAAAGCAGGGCTAGCATCACTTCCAATTTAATGTGTCATAATTGAAAAGTCACATAAAATCACTACACAGGCAGGTCAAAATAAAAGATAAATCATGTTACATCCCGTGAAAATCAAACTTAAATACATATACTGATTAGATAAGGACTCATCTACACTATTTCAAGGTGCGAAAAAATAAATAATTCACTCCCCCCCCCCCTCCACACACAAGGTAATACTTATTGAAAATCATCAAACCTTGGTACAAAGAGTAGAAACAAAGACACAAAAACTAGTGTAAATATGATTTAATTGAGAAAAAAACTTCCGTTTGAATTCGATTTTCTGCAATGAAAGTCATACCCGCCACCTTAAAGGCAGCAATGGAACCTTATCTTCATGGGCATTTCAGTTTTACCTAAATACCAGCATTACCTATATGCAAGTCTTAGACAAAATTCAAATAAATACTGTTTTCTTATCAGGCAAAATACCTCTATCGACTAGGTACAGAGTCCCTTGATATGGCAAGTTCAGACAAAGACGAATCAGAACCTCTATTGAAGAAGGGAGTAAACAACGGACTCAATATGGAGGAGAAGAAAGAGATGGGGCAGAAGCGGAGTATGTCTGGACAACAATTGTTGGTGGTGGGATGTATTCTTATGTGTGAGCTATGTGAACGTTTGACGTACTACAGTGTAACCGCTAATGTTGTCCTTTTCTGCACCAATGTTTTGGAACTGGAAAGTACACAAGCCGCCACCGTCAGCCTGGTGTTCTCGGGTAAGACCCTGTCTAAAAGGAAAAGCTTGGAAAGTGAAATAAAAAGTATTTTCTTTATGATTGAAAAAAGGAATTTGGACTAGTAATTAAAAAGTTCATAATAATCGATGTAAAATTATGAAATAATCATAATTACAAAGAAAAACGTTCCAATGACTAACTAATCAGTATGTGCACTTTATTACCCTTTGAAATTTTTCTCGTTTATTTTTTAGACTTCCACTGAAATAAGGAAGCTCTATCAAATTAAAGAAGAAATATTCTACATTTCTAAATCTTATTAAAAATTATATGGGTAAATCCCATAAAAAGTTATAAAGTAATACTGGTTGTGATTTCCAGTCCAGTACAATCGCACTGTCAGCACTATTGCAGTAGAAGCAAGAGCATGTTCTACCTACGAACAATTACTCAAACGAGACAGGCTATTGACAAATAAATTGATGATACAAGAATATCAACAATCTCGTTTACAGTCAACATTTTGCAAATTCTATGGTCAATACATTGACATTGTTTGCAAATATAATCTGTCGTTAAGTCGAATGTAAACTGACTCTATACAAATGGTTAGGCCATCATTTTCACACTGACTTGTCTACGGACTTTTAAGTTCACCCGATCATGACAAAGAGCCAACGAAGGGTGTGGCCAGTCAAGGGATGCTTACTCCTCCATGGCACCTGATCCCACCTCTGTTTTCAGATGCACATGTTGTCTCTGCTCATAATCTGGATTGAGAGAATGGTCACTGCTCGTTATCTTCACATTTCAAGCAACAGTAAACCAACTTTTATTGGATGTTGGGATTTTTATTTATTTATTTATTTATTTTGTGAGATTTGTCACACAGCGAAACATTTCTTCTGTTGTTCATTTGTCTCAGTCGCAGATATTAATCCCCAACAAAATTAATTAAGAAGAATCCAATAAATGTCAGTTAACAGTCAAAGAAATGAACCGCTAACCTTAGATTCTGTACAAGTTACCACTGAATTCCTAGTCTTGGTAGAATTGAATTATTTTGCCACAGTCCTACCAAATAAACATCGTTCGACATAATAATAGAACCCCAATGATTACAGTGTTAAAAACACAATTATAGACCCTTCCCCTTCTCAGTTTGTTCTCTTTCCTCTGTCTGTTTTATCCTGCATTCTCGAGAGATGAGAGGAAAATCTGTTTTACTTCTAAATATACTACCAATATCAGCGATTTACAATTTAAACAAACAAAAGATAACGTGGGTTTATTATGATTAACGAAGATACGCTAAACATCGGGGTATCCCCGGTATATACACTTATCTACTCGAGTACATTAATGAAAAATATATATATCATGTGACCTATACTCAAGTGAAATGGCAGCTCCGGATGAAGAAAGAACAATTTTGTTATCTGCGAGTGGCAGGGAAGGGGGTGACAAAATATCCCCACCTTCTCTCTGGAGGGGGAATCATATGATCTTGGCTGTGGCTATATTGTTCACAGAACTTTGTGAAAGACTAACATATTACAGTGTTACTGCAAATATGGTTTTGTATTGCACCTCGATTTTAGAACTTGAGACTACTACGGCCGCCTCAGTGAGTCTTCGATTTACTGGTTAGTTATTCAAAGTGTTTCATTTATTTACTCACTGAGTCTTAAGTTTTCAGGTTAGTTATTTTTTACTCAGTCTTTGCTTTTCTGGTTCAAAATGTGCAATATTCACTCACAGGGTGAGTCAAGTAATTCAAATGTATCATGTTTACTCGTGCAAATTTGCTTTGTGTTCTTCGATGTAGTGGTAAAATAATCAAGTATCCTTGCCTTACTGGGCAGTTAGGCATCAATAATAAACTTTTTACAAGTTCAAATGAAGAAAAGGAGTTAGTTTCTTTCTTCCCCGACAATAAAATCTGCGAAGTCTGAAAGTAAAACTTTCTTTTATTGAAAAAGTAATAAGCTTTTCTCATTTTTCATATATAATTATTTCCTTGCAGGGACTGTGTTTATCATCCCTGTAATTGGTGGTTATATCGCAGACACTTTGGCGGGAAAATACAATACCATTTTAGGCTCTGGACTGATATACGTCTTAGGTACGTCTATATAAACCGAAATTCCATATCTTCATATTAGCATTTGATTGAACAACTTGCACTGCTAGTTTTGTCGACCAGTTATCTGAATATTTGGTACAGTTGTTTTCTGACATTTGCATTAAACGGCACATTTCAGGGCTGTTCCTCCTGCCAGCCTCAGCAATGAACTATACGGATTGGTTTGGAAGTGACGGTGATGGCTCCTCGTACGACTTGTCTACGGTAGTCTCTGCATTTCTTTCATTAAAAAAAAAATAAAACTTGATTGATGATTTATGTAAGATGCATTGCATTAAATAGCGTTTTTTAAATTGGAAATCAAAATTTTAAATTGTACCAAAATTTCATGAATCAAAACAAAGAACTGTTAGCAAAGGTAAATAATGCTTCAAGTTCTATTTGTATTCTTCCAGGAAATGCGGAGGGTTTATTATTTTATGGGTCTAGTATTCGTTGCCATAGGAACAGGAGGCATAAAAGCAAATGTTGGTCCATTTGGTGCACAACAAGTAGAAGATCTAGGACCAGAGGCAGTCCAGTCATTTTTCAACTGGTATGACGATTTTGCTTGTAAATCCCTGTAGAACTGTAAATAATTTCTTCCGTGGCATAACGGTTAATGTTTTATTGTGTCGGCAGGTTCTACTGGTTCATAAACGCTGGGTCGTTCGTGGCATTCCTGGGTGTGGCTTATGTACAACAAAATATTAGCTTCAGTTTGGGCTATCTCATCCCATTCATATCTATGGTGATAGCGCTCATCATTTTTGTTGCAGTGAAATCTAAATACAAGCAATATCCGCCAGGAGGTATGCAATGAATTTTAAACACATGTATTGTCATTTAAATTTACTGAAAGGCAAATGAGTGCAATTTTTAACATGCCCTGTCATATGCAACAGTGTATCTGTACCATCATCCATTACATTTATAATATTATGAAATGAAAAAATATACTGTAAACCAACTAATATTCGCGTCATCTTTTATTCGCGATTCGTCGGTTTAAAATCTATATATGACGATTAATTTTCGCGACTGAGGAAACATTCTCTACAAATACAAAGCAAAATAAATGGTTCGCAGCTTTTTATATTCGTGAGTAAATGTAGGTCGCGAAAACTCGCGAATATTTCTCACACGCGAATAGAAGTTGGTTTACAGTACATGTATGTACATGTTCTGTAGAGAGATGAAAACATTTATCAGTGTCATCTTGTAAGAAATGTTCACATGCTCATTAGTTCAAGTAAAGACCAAGGTTGGATTAATTATACACAAGTTGTTCATATCCATAAATTTTGCATGTTATCTTTGATATATTGTCATATGTAGGCAGGTTCCAATAGCATCAGTAACCTTTGTGGTCTGTACATAGGCAGATTACCAATAATATAGATAGTCTGTATTCTGGAGGCAGATTACCAATAATACATGTAACCTATGTGGTCTGTAGGCAGATTATAACAAAAGTTACGTTTGTGGTCTAAAGGCAGATTACCATTAATATATGTAACATTTTTGGTCTGTAGGTAGTATAATCGTTGATTCTTTGGGAGTTTGCTGTCAAGCAGGCTGCAGAAACTTCGACAAAGCCCGAAACGCCAATGGAGGAAAATACAAAGATGACTTTGTGGATGGGGTGGTTGCTGTCCTTAGAATTATCCCTGTGTTTTTATTAATCATCTTGTATTGGGCCATTTATTCTCAGGTTAGTTGAAAGTATTCAGTTATAATGTTCTAAAGCTATGATATGACTTATGATCACCATGTTAAATTTTAGGTTTGTCTAGTAACCTGTATTCAGTTTTCTTTAAGGTCAAGATAGATTGCGACAGGATTTTTTCCCTAGAATTTTATCTTCAATACTGGAATACCAAAGGTTTTTATATTTTTACAATGAAGATACAACCTCAGATTAACTTTCTGATTTTTATACCTCAGTTATCGGAGATATGGGGACATATTGTCATTGGTCTGTTCATGTATCTGTTTTTCTGCCCACAAAAACTTTGGCTATAACTTTTAAACAGTTGGTGCAAGGGCTTTCATTTTTCAAGCGTATTCCTAGTGATAAGACCTTTCTTTGGGTGTCAACATATTTACCTCATGACTTTGATCTTGGAGTTTGACTTACTTTTGAAAAACTTTAACCTTGGCTATAACTTCTTAACGCTTATTGCTAGGAATTTTATATTTCAAATGTGTATTTTATGTGGCAAGGCCTTTCTCTGGGTACTAGAACATTTTTACCGGTAGCTTGGACTTTTACGTGTTGCTGACAAAAAGGTTAGCCTTTTGATCCACAGACAAGCACTTGTTTCGTATATCCTTCTTTTTCTTTCCACAAGGTACCTAACTCAATTTCAGGCACCCCCGCTTCAACCTCGTATTTTGTTAATATATCCATCATTAACCTACTTTAAAATGACATCGTTCGCTTTGAGAGACTTTTTTCTTGTCAAATAAATCGTTTCAGACATCTCTGGTCGAGCTTCTTTATTGTAAACCACTCATTTATTCCTCGAAAATTACCTTGATACATTTTAAGACTCTAGACGGGATACAAAACTTCCGGTTGGGGTTATAAATGTAGGATAAAACCAGAGACTTCCGAGTTATCCATTCTGAGGTCTTGTAACGAAAGCTTTCCTTGGGTACCAACATTTTTTACCACATGACCTCGATCTTGGAGTTGGATCTACATGTACTTTTGAAAAACATTAGCCTTAGTTATACATAGACAGAGTGCAAATTTACAGTCCCCTCTGACATTTGGTAGTTAGGGACTGAAAAAAACTACTACCAAACAAGATGAGTTTGTGAAACACTTATGCCCCCGTGTAGCAGCTCATGGTCAAAGTTAAAGTCTTGCAAAAGTAGATCTAACTTCAAGATCAAGAGGTCAAAGTGTTGATACTCAAAGAAAGGTCTTATCAAAAGAAATACGCATGTGAAATATGAAACCCCTTACAGAACCGTTCAGAAGTTCGTCCTTCACCCGAGTGCAAGTCCTACACTTAGTTTAGGTGCTTTCAGGTACTGAGCTAATTTTGGTATGGGAGTCTTATAAAGTTCGCATTCAATGATTTGGGTTTTAATGACAAGTCAAATACGACTTTTGGGACCAGATTTTATTGTATTAACCTCGGATCTAGACTTCATGACATATTGGTACTAAATTTCAGATTGTCTATGTTTTGTGGGTTCTGAACGAGGTACAGATGATTTACTTAATTGACATTTAAAGGTTTAAAGACAATAAAAATTTTCATCGATTAAGGGAAAAACTAATTCAGAATACCGAATACTTATCTGAATCTGTGAAGCATCTTTTTTGTAGATGCAGTCAACATTTTTTCTGCAAGGTGAACGAATGGACGCCAAAATTGGCAGTGTAACGATGCCAATAGCCGTGCTGAATGTGTTCAATACCATTATCATCCTAATTCTTATTCCTATCATGGACAGAATCATTTATCCATTTTTGGCTAAGCATAACAGGAGTCCTACACATTTACAAAGAATAGGTCAGTTCAATTTTCACACACGGTATGATTCTGGAACGTAGGTACAATTTTGTTTAACCGTTACATAGGACAATTTGAAATTTTAAAATTTAGTCACAAATTAAGTTTGTCAAGAGATCGTCATAAAAATGAAATACATATTAAAGAAACAATGATCTCACCCCATGACAAAGGTTATTGTGGCTCTAAATAGAGAAACAGTCAGATATGATGATATTTTAAAATGATTTTGTCTGCTTTTAAGGGGCACGTCGTCACATTCTCTATCCAGAGTTGTCTGTCGCTACGCTGGGAGCGTAGCGGCAGAAACCTATGGATAGAGAATGACGTACTCAGGACCGTTAATCTCGCCTACGCCTACAGTAAGCACATGCGCGATTGGCCGTGGGTGTGCGACGATAAAGAAACATAGTGATCAGTTAAAGTTTATTTGGATTACGTTGTCATGTTTGATTCAAATGTCTCATGCAATCAGCCCGAATAAACAAATTTGGCCAATGGGATATCATTGCTTAACCATCAAAATAATTCTGAAAATTTCAACAACAGTTCTATTCTCTTAACAGTAGCATGACTGCCTTAGATTATTCTTATTCCAGTCAACGTATGATATTTTTTTTTTTTTTTGTTTTTTGTTGTAGCCTTTGGTTTCATCTTATCGGCGCTTTCAGTTCTTGTGGCAGGGATTTTGGAAATTTATCGCAAGAAAGATATTGAAAATAATGGATATATTCAACAAGATCTGGCATCGGACACGTTCAATGCTTCTCACATTTCTATTTTCGCCCAAGTCCCCGAATTTGCTTTAGTGGGAGCTAGTGAAGTTTTTGCCAGTGTTTCTGGTAAGCAGAACAAATGTTCAAATAATTCAGGATCGATGGAAATCTCAATTATTTCAAGTCAATGTTATTTTAGTAAAATAACACTAGTAACAAGAGGTCAATGGGCCACATCGCTCACCTGAGCTCATTGGCTGGGACGAAGTAGAAATCATTTCAGTAATGAAAAGGGAGAGGGGGGACAAACTTTAATTTTCACTATCTCAGGATGCTTCCATATCAATATTACTAATCATGGCTTTGCTATTCTTAAACAGAGAATTTTAAAGATTTTTTTCCTGTGTTTTCTACCGTCACGTCACGGTAGCTCATTCTGTAGAGCTCTCGCTCCGTGATCGGTGGGACGTGGGTTCGAGCCCCGGCCGCGACTGACCTAAGTTGATAAAAATAGGTAGCAACTGTTCCTTCGCCAAGCGCTCGACACTTTGAAGTGAACGTTGCGGGTCCTTCAGATGATACCTTAATAACCGAGGTCCCATGTCACAGCAGGCATAGGCACGATAAAGATCCCTCACTGCTCAATGGCCCTGAGTGCCGAGTAAAGCTCAAAATTTGAAGCCCTTCACCGGTATATGGTGAAGTCTCTGCATGAGTGAAAAATTCTCGAACTGGATGTAAAATAACATACAATCAAACAATTCTATATTTTCTTATGTAAAACTCTGATCTCTCATTGTGGCCCCACCCTACCCACCCAAAATGTTAAAAATTAACAGACGGACAAAATGCTTTCAGTACAAGTGAGCTAACTAGATCTTAAACTGTTTGATTGTTTGATTTAATCACTGTGTTTAACCATGTCTCATGTATTGTATTCAGATTAGTTCAAATCATGACCTCTGGGGTAGGATGGGGCCACAATGCACTATCAGAGTTTAACATATGGATGTATAGGGAAAAATTCTCTTATATCTTTTTCTATACAGCAAAGCCACGTTTAGTCACATTGATATAGAAGTATCTTGAAGTAGTGAAGATTCAAATTTGTTCATATCATGAACCTGTGGGGTAGGGCGGGACTACATCTAGAAAAATCATGACACCTAGGTCTAGTGTGGGGTCACAATAGGGATTAAAGTTTTACATAGGAAACAATCTACTGCTGATGAAGAACAGCAGGGCCATATTGACTCAGGTGAACGTTGTGGCCCATGGGCCTCTTGTTTTTATTATCTTTCTATTTATTTTATCAAAGGTTTTAAAATGATGAAAAATTGTCTTATTTAACCTTAACGATTTTTTATGACTTTCTCGGAAAGAAAAGAAAATTTAAAAAAAAATTGCGCCGTTATACCTTTAATAAGATTGTAAATGTTTGATTTTCAGGTCTGGAATTTGCATACTCTCAGGCACCCTCATTTATGCAGGGGTTGGTTATGGGTTTGTTTTTAATGATGTCGGGATTAGGTAATTACGTGTCTGAGGCAATTCTGGAGATAGTCAAAGAAGCATCAGGAACTAAACCACCAGGTGGGTTCAGTTATAGCGCCAATATATTCCAAGAGTTCAGAAGGGTTAATCAGAGGCACAGGCATATGAAATTAACAAAAAATAATGGCAAGAGCAGAACTTGGTATGGCAAAAATAGTTTGAGAGTTATCGAGAGGAGGTGAATATTTGGAAACCAGTTTACATTTTGTAACGGAAGTTGTCCTTTTTTCCTGTATAAATCATGGTGTAAATCTAAATAAAAAAGTTCCTCCATCTAGTAAATTCTTTTCTTTTTTCAAAAAAAAAAGGTTTATTTCGGTTTATGCCTGTTGTTAACTTAAAAACTTAAAGTGAATATTATTTTTCGACATAATTAGACATGATATTTATGTCTCCGTTAAACACATCAAGTTTACGATATTGCAAGGTTTTTTACTTGGCAGAATTACGAATACATTGTATTCGACATAATTATGACGGTATGAACGCTCTTTTATTTTCAGATGCTTGGTTTCCCGAGGAAATGAACGATGGAAAAACAGAGTATTTGTTTTTCATGCTTGCCGGACTTATGGCAGCTAACACACTTGTTTTCATCGTTGTGGCGTACTTTTATAAATACAGAGAACCGGAAGAACAGCAAATCCTGGAAATAGACAAAACCGTCGACGTGGAAAAACCTCCGGCGTATGATTCTCTGGATAAAAGTTTCGACAATCAGGGTTATACAGGCGAGCGAGAATCCACCAAGTTATAAGCTTTCACAGCTCCGTTCAAGGAATCTGCACGAAGTCAGTATGAACATTTAAAGTTTTTGGGAGGTAATTGCTTCAAGCTTCCAATTTTTTTACTGAAGTCCAACTTTTAATGTAACATGAAGAACTTACCTTTTCGGTGCCCCGGATAGTGTCGTATATAATTAAATGTGATTTCTAGGAAACAGCCATTTATATTTAGTGCCATGGTTTGGGAGTTCATGTACGTATAGTCAGTCGTGAAGCCAAATAGAAGGTGATGCTTTGGAAATCCAGATAGACATCAATGTATCTGAAATCCATGTATTCATGAAAACATTATCGGTCTAGATATCACTGATGTCAGTGAAATCTTAAATTCCTCAAGTTAATGATGCAATATATGTTATTCTGTATGGGCTGTGTATGTATTCAGAATTTTTTTGGTACATTTTGTTGCTTCTTTATATACTTATCTGTATTCTGGTATACTATAATTGTACAAATGTTTTATTAAATATTTTTATTGTTTACCTTTCCTATTTTAAACATTTTAATCAATTTAGGTATATAACATTCACGGGTAAAGAGGAACAAAAATTGTCCCTGAGGGGTGGGACAAAAACGGTCAAAATTAGAGCAATCTTAAAAATTCTTCTTTACTCTTTTAGCAGTCAAACTGTTGGCATTTATATTTAGCAAATAATGAATGAGCATTTTACCAAAATTGTGAAATTCATGATCCCTGGATTCAGGGTTTTCATATATTGAAAATGCAATATGTTTTTGAAAAACTCCTCTTTTACGGATGGACATCAATCAGGCAAACAGTTAGCAAATGAGCCCCTCTACTAAAACTGTGAAATATGTTGGTTATATATTGAAAATACATTCAAGCTTTAAAATATTTAATGATGGGCAAACTGTTAACATGATAATGTAAGACAGATAGCCCTCAATCTACCAAAATAATTAAATATCGTAATCCAGGCCATTGGATTGGGGTTAGTTGGTAATATATTGAAAATATTATAAGTTGAATATTTAGCAGAAAAAAATTTGCATAATTACAATGAACACTCAACCATATTCCAAACTCAATTCTTGGTCCTTGGATTTCAGGCCCTGCCGCGGGGGTAAGTTGGTAACCGAAATTTTCGGTCAATATAAAAAAAAAATACGGTGTTCTTATTATAGGTATTACGTATTTTTTATATTTACTGAAAATTTCGGTGAAATTGATAGGTTTGCGAACTCCTGTGGTCATATGTACATGGCATCTTTTCTTACGGACATCTGCAGACAAACTGTTCCTGCGATTAAAATATTGAATAAGCACTTTGTCCTCTTCCATAATTGTATTATTGCTGATCTCGTAATTTCTGGTTCAGGCCACAGGGTAAGGCTAAGTCATATACTGAAAATTCATTATGAATTGATTTTTATTCATAATCATCTAAGAGACACCAAACTGTGATTATATTACCACTTTTTGCTTTACCAAAATTGTGAAATTTATGTCCTTTGCGTTTAGGGATGGGCTGAGTTGGCTGTATATTGAAAAAAAATTATTTAACGTTTGAAGATTTGTACTCATGGACATTTAGCCAGTGTTAGCAGACACGCTTTTTGCACGATCACAATAAGCACCTACTGAGCCCTCTGCAAAGATCTTGAAATTCCTGTCCCAGGAGTCGAGAATTCAGGTTCCAGGTGGAGCTCGGTATGTCATCTACATTGAAAAATATTAAAGACGGCGAACATTTGAATAAGATTTATTCCTCGACATTTATTAAGAAAAACTTTATGCATTGTGGTATTCATCAAATTACTTTATGTGAGCCTCTGAGGTTCAGGCGCCACAGTGAGCACATAGACGAACTGAAATTTTTCAAACATCAAATATCTTTGCGATAAATTATACACTGAAAACATATATCAAAGCCATCTGATGGCCTAGAACATTGAAGAAACGTATGAATGTTACAGATAAAATTTTCGTGACACGGTATTATGATAGAGTTATCTCCCCAACACCAAATAACGAAATTTTCTTTCTCCGCGAATCTCTGTATAGAGTTACCCTTTTCTGAAACTGTCAAACTATTATGACATATTAATATAATCAAAATCATAATGAGGCATATACGAGTACTTGCAAAATTTTGAAAACGTATCCGCGTGTTTTTGTTTGTTTGTTTTTTGTTTTGTTTTTTTTAGAATTCCTGAATTTCTCTGTATATTTTGTGTCTTACGTGTTAGAAAGATTGGATAGTATCAGGTAAACTTGTTTACAGTGATGATGTTTCATATTAGCAATTGTCTTCATAATGTACTGTCCCAAGTAAAACTATTTTTAACAATAAAATCAGTTTCTTTTAGTCACTTATTGGGCAGTTTGAGGTAGATTTGAATATAAGGCTATCAGTCATTTTCACTATTAAGCCGTATAAACATGTCTTTCTCTGTTGGCGAGAGCATTTATTTTTCTTAATCATAATTCAATTCATTTAAATAGGCTACCGAGATTGTTCTGAGTGATATCCTAGATATAGAAAGTGAGAATGCTAGGAAGCCAAATTTCAACAAGCTATGTCTATTCCTGATGAGGAAATAGATAAGAAAGTTTCAATAATCTTTAAATCAAAAAGATATAGATTAGATACAAGACGGGAAATCTAAGAATACGGAGACTGAGTGCAGACTGGTCTTGGACCTTTTCGTAAAGTACCTCTAGATGAAAAGAAATTCATATAAAGCATGGATATATGCCTTTCAGTAGCGAAAAATCATGATCAAGAGAAATAATGTGAATTTTGAATCTAAAACGTAAAATAAAGTAAAATTAATTCCTTAAAATCAACTGTGTAAATGTGAATTGTGAATCTTTAAAGTTAAAAAAAATGTATTAGGAATTCCATCAGGTTCATTGTGACATTGATGTTTTACCGTGACATTACTTATTTTAATTCGATTTTGTGTGACACTTTTATTTTTTTATAACTTGAAAAATTTGTTCATATATAAATCAATACTAATAAAAGTCTAACATTTCCAATGTTTTGCTGAGCGGTCATAAAAAAAATCGATGTTTGACCGCGGAGTGAGATATTGGACCTGTCGATGAGATGTTGGACCGCTTACGTCATACAATGGGCGGGTTCAGTTAAATCTCATTTGCATTCGTTGGTGTTCGACATACATGTATACATGTTAAATAATAATAATAAAATAAATGAAAGGTATAACAGAACATTTATTGACTGTGTTCTCGGGCAAATGCGTTTTGTCGGCCCCAAGAACCAAACTGTTTGCCTGAGGCATGTAACTTTTAAATTTACAGGAACTTTCTGCTGTATAACTGCGTATAACAGCCGAAAATAACAAAGGATTACATAACAAAATGTTTTAGACAGAGTCTATAACTTTTGCAGGTTTAATCCGAAGACAGAGTCATTTCTTGTATATACATAAATATTTTTTTTTTACCGTTGCAATTATTGCTATGATTACATATTGTAACGTTTTTCCATGATATTACAAAAATATAATATAAAGGGGAGAGGATGACAAGCCCCTGTCGCAGACAATAATTATAAAATGGAATTCTCACATACCTACAGCTGGAATTTCTGAAGTATTTAAAACCTAACTGATATATATCTATTCCTCTTACAAACCCATTCATATTTCAGCATGTTTTCTATTCTCAAACTTAAAATTGAGATCATGATCTTTTGACAACGGTAACTATTTAAATATTTCAAAATCTAGACCTAGGAATAAAAATCATCTGGCCACGATTTAAATTTTAAAAAAAATAATAACTTCAATTGCCAAGAATACACCTCGATTTTCTTCATTTCTTTCATTTGTATGTTTGTGTGTGATTTTTTTTTTAACTCGTTCTAAATAATCTTTCTTCCAGTACCTGAACTGTTATTCTCACGGTTCGTTCATGAGCAGAAAAAAATCATTCATTCTAATATTTCATAATGTTTTAATAATGTAGTGAAAGAGATCCTATTTATTAATCCTATTTTATTCTTTTTTTCGATTACGTAAGAGCTAAACCACCTAAAAGCAAAGTTAATATTGACTTAGATAACATAAATAAAAACATATATGTCATGTTCACTTGAGTATATTGCTTCGTCTTCAAACTATAAAAAAAAAGTGACTCTCTGCTATTCCCTTCCTTTCATTTTTTTTTAATTTTGCCACAATTTTGACAACATCCTTACGATCTCAGAACGAAAGATAGATATGTACTTTAGTCATCTGAATTGATCTCCACTGCATAGCTATAGAATTTACTACCACCTGAAGCCTGTTCGTTTAATGATGTGACCGATTTATAAGGTTCTGCTGATATTTACACATATTCTTCCGCTGGTACATTAACAGTTAGGTGACAGAATGCCCTTTGAAGTATGTTCAAACTCAATGTTGCATAATTTTATGATATGTAAACACATTAAAGACAGTGCCTATGGATGCCGATGTGTGTCATTGGTTGTTAATACTAGAACATTCCTGAAACAATTAAGTTTCTGTATTTGCTGGATTTTTTTTCATATGAGTACATTGTTTTTCTTAAAGAGATTGAAAAAAGAGTGCAGTTTTAAAACTTAAAGACTACATTCTCCCTCCCAACTAACACTGAGTGCTGCCATTATCAGCTGATTATATAAGAGGGAAAAAACTGCTTTCCAATGGGTTGATTATGCTTTGAACCTTATTTGACGAAAGACGTGGATAATTTGCACATTGAAAAATGATGTCAAATGAATTGAAAGGAATTTACTCTAAATTAAACTAGCATGGGGCAGGATTTCACCGAATTAAAATATTGTATATGTATGCAGTATGGATTAGTTCCGATCCATTGTTGTTAAATACAAGAATTTATTTTTGGATCTATCACAACATCAAGCTGTAATTCATAGTTATGATTTTAGAAACTTAACAAACATCCTAACTCCGATTCCTCGAATAACCTCATACATGTATATACATGAATACATGTAGTTTCTCATCAGCGACAATAAAATTATGAAACGATTTGCCTGTTAAAAAGAAATCAAAGATAGTTTTTCTTGGCAAATAAGTACAACCATCATGGTTCATCTCCCAGACTCTTCTAAGTGCTATCGAAAGGACTGAAAAAAGTACCCAACCTTCATCGAACTGAATTTATAGAGATCAATTATATAAAATCTCAAAGGTATCTTTGAAGGCATGGCCGTAGGAAACGGGGGGGGGGGGGGGCGTGCCCCCCAATAATTTTGCCGATATATAGATTACTATAGTAAAAATAGATAAACATAGATACAATATGCTTGTGCCCCCTCAATAAAAACGTCTGATGACCTTTTTTTTTTTTTTTTTTTTTTTTGCTTGTCAGGAAATTTTTGGTAGTGCCCCCTCAACTGTCAACTGAAAATGTATGGCTGTGCCCCCCCCCCCCCCCAAACTGAAATTGCTTCCTACGGGCCTGGAAGGCCTCTCTTGAAGTCCTAATAGGATGC